CAAGTCGATTAATTAATGTATTTGTAATGAACCATAAACCCTAAAATCTAAATCATAAACCCTAAACCCGATTATGTGATAGGAGTTAAATTATGCACATGAAAGTAACATACAAATTATGCAAAATGATGTATGTGACTCCTAAATAAATTATTCGCATACTTATACATAAACATATCAACATGCAAAATAAATATACACAACTTGCCTCTGCTTAAAAAGCTAAGCGGATATGCTAACCATCATATGCACATCATAGTTTTCCCTTGATCATATTAGCTCTCCAATAACATGCACATTGCCACGTGATATCTAAACAACAAATTAGGTTTGCATACCTTGTTTAACGAAGGCAAACCCTGCAAGAAACTCCCTTGATCCAATGGAGTTGATGCAGCAGAAGTTGCAAGAAAGGAACATCTACAATACAGAACTAGTTATATATCATTGAAAGACGAATGATTAGGAGTTGGGACATTCACCAGTCCTGACCAGAACCACAGAGGAGAAAAAAGAATGACCAAAAAATGGTGTATAGTAAATAATGTATGTAAAATAATAACCAAAAAATGGCTTATACCTTCAACTGACAACTTCAGCTCCCATTAAGACCCCGGAGAACTACTTCTGCTGCAATTGAATAGAGCTGTGGCATGAAAATGATCAAAAGCATGCAAACGCCCGAGCGACTTCGCATGAGCAGAGGAAGCCTTGAACTTGGAGAAAAGGACCTGGATGGAGAGGTGAACACATTCAGAATCATGACAGCTACCTTGTTGAAAATCAATGAAAGCAACGTATGAATCTTATCGGCACAGGTTGAGTAAAATGCGAAATGTTCAGAAAACAATCAAAGGCAAAGCAATTATCCTACTTCACCCCATCCAAACAATCCAGCCATAGTAGGCATTAAATAACAGGCAAGTTAGCATTTCCTTGGATGAAAAACAGCAGGAAATTCAAGCATCTGTTCGATAATACGAAATAGAGTTATATTAGGAAAGTTTTCTTATCAAAGATTATATTTTCCTGCAAACTGAGGAATATCGTTTATCAACATCCCTAACCCATATTAGCATGATATATTGTATCTATACTATTAGTAAAATATTCAAGTTCCCATCTTTATCCTGAGGATTCCGATTTCCCATCATCCAAACAACAATTAATGTTTGAAACACAAAAACCCCAACATAACCAAACCCAAATTTCAAAACGGAAAGAGCTGAAAATTTACCAAAAACGCCACTGTTTTCTCCAGTGAGTTATATCCCACATCGTTGGTACTTGGAGAATAAGTGGTAAAGTGGTTGAGCTTAAATCGAGCTCAAAATTGATTCTCGAGTTTTTATCGAGCTCCTGATTTTTTTTTGAATTTGAGTTTTTTCGAGTTCGAGTTGAGTTTTAATATTATCTTTCGAGTTCGAGTCGAGCTTCAAAATTTTAAGTTCGCGAGTTTTCGAGTCGAGTCGAGCTTACATTTAAAGTTTTCGAGTTTGAGTCGAGCTCGGCAATATTTGAGCTCGACTCAGCTCGTTTACACCCCTAGTCGCTAGCATCTCAGATGACAAGAGTTTATCACTATCACTAGATCATTGTTCCCGAGTGTTTGCTGCTAATCGAAATCGAAACCAGTTAGGATTTGTTTGCATTTTACATTTTTAGCTATAACTGATCCAATGAATATGGAACTCGGCTTTAGATTTCGTTCTGTAATCTTTATCGATTTTATGTTCGTTTTGGTTATCTTTCTCGATATTCGTAAAATCGAGGTATGATTTTGGCACCATGCAAAATTGCATAATGGAGAAATGTTTCAGTTCCTTTCACCTTACTTAATATATGAAAATTTGGTATAAAATGCCTGAGGACATCGGTCAGTATATACAAGGGCAAGGCCTTCTTCTTAACAGGTCTAATTATGCCTCAGCTCCTTGCATTCTCGTTATGTTTGAAATTCAATCCCTATTCTCAATATGTCAAAATTTAAATCTTCCTACGTGCTCAGTTTAAAAATTATCAACGTGGCATTTTGGTTATCAAAATGCTATGTTGAGAATTTTATATTTTATCCAACCATTATTGAATTGAGTAAAAATTTGAAAATTTTCAGTTTATTCTGTAATTTTTGAAAGTACAGTTACTCAAAATGCTATTTGAGCATAATTTAGCGACCTGATGTGCTTTACCCAAATATCTATATTACTCGCTTATTACTGTCTTGTCCCGACATGTGCGGATGTGCCAACCTCTTGCAAATATTTTTTCAACATTAAATAAGCTCTGACTCAATTTATTAGGATCACGTAAGGAGTTGAAGACCGCAGAAATGAGAATGTTTCGATGAGTATGTGATAGGGCCCTGTGGGACATGACATCAAACTCTGTTATTAGGATGTCATTGGGGACGGTGTCTGTATCGAAAAATTGAGGAAGGGAAGACTACGATGGTTTGAGCATGTCCTTAGGCGACAACCGTCGGATGCGGTCAGAAGGGTAGAGTCGATTACAGTCAACGGTGCCAGAAGGAGAGGACGACCAAGGCGGAAGTAGGAAGACTGCTTGAGATCTGATTTGAAGGAATTAGTCCTTACCGATGACATTACCTCTGATAGAAAAGTATGGAGACTTAAGACCAGGATAATCGAGTAGTGCGGTTTACAGTCATAGGGTGTAACATCTCTGTCTTCTTTTTAATGTCTTTGTAGTAATTTTCATGACTTCTATTTTATACGCGTTTATGTCATTGGAATGTATGAAGGCTTAGAACTATGATAGCATTCTCTTCAGGTTTCATCTTTTTAAATTTAGCCGGGTTTTACGTTTCAATCTATATGTAGAGATTTCTACGCAGAAATTTATTTGCAGTGATTACTTCCCATTACAGACGCACATATGAAGACTGCATATGAAGAATGTTCAACTATGTATTTATTTATTTATACATGCATTGCATTTTATCTTTATTTTAATTTTTTGACTACCGGTGGTCTTCCACTGAAACTATTTTCAACTTGACGTTGGAATCAATCTACTACCCTACCTCCACTTATCTCATTGCATATAAGAATAGAATTTTATTGTTGTTGTCTGTCTCAATCTACATTGCTCGCATTACGTGTCAAATTCGAATTGGCTTTTTCTTACCCATCAGTTGGGACCCACCAGAAGATGTCACATCGTTCCACGTAATCTAGTGCAATCGGGCGGCCAATGTCGGCTTTGATAATCCACGCGTACCGTAATATATTGTGAGTGCAAAACACAAGAAAATCTTCTCTTGATCGTGTATATAGCTAAAATATTTAGAGTGCCAGCAAATGGTCGGAGGATTTCGTAGTGTAATGTCTGAAAGCCGTCTTTTTCTTTTTGGGCGGAAAAGTATCTTTTATTTATCTCTTACTATATTTGTTTACATTACATTACAAAAATGCCCTTGTCCTATTTATAAGCAATAAAAAATTTGATTTAATGGTGCATGAAGTTCTCAATTTTTTAAAAAGAAATCAATTAAACCTCTAATTTTTTATCCAATTAAACTCTCAAACTAAAAAATTAGACCAAATAAGTCATTTAATCAATAAATTAAATTAATTAAATTATTTGATCAATTTTGACCTCTAAATCTTAATAATTTTTTCTAATATATTATTATCATGTGAAAGTTGAAACATTAAGATTCGGCCGCATGAAACAAATAGTTAAAATAAAAGAATGAAGTAATTTTAGTCCTTAAACTTAGTAATTTTTTAATTTGATTTTTACATTTTTTTAGATCTATATCAACTCATGAACTTGAATTTTTGATGATTTTAGTGACATGATATTATAAGACGATAACACATATCATAATCTCAAAGTTTTACAGCATAAAAAAATGAATAGAAAAGTTACAAAATCCGTGACTAATGTGGACAAAGAAAAATTCATGGACTAAGCGGGGAAAATTTTAAGTTGAAGGATTAAAAGTTGGTTTACCTCAAAGAAAATGTGATAATGATTTTGCATAATAAAGCACTTTAATTATTTTTGGAAATGACTTTAAAAATAATTTTATGACAAAAGCCGGTAACAATAATAATAATAATAATAATAATAAGTAAATAATTTAAAAAATAATGTCGGTCTCGGAGCCCCCAAAATCCCACTATTGTGGCGACCACGAATGTCCAATTACCATCTCCGCCACCCCACGCTTTTGGACCCCACTCCAGCTGCCACTGTTAAAAAAGATGTGATAATGATTTTGCATAATAAGCACTTTAATTTATTTTGGAAATGACTTTAAATAATTTTATGACAAAAGCCGGTAACAATAATAAAATAATATAAATAAGTAAATAATTTAAAAAATAATGTCGGTCTCGGAGCCCCCAAAATCCCACTATTTGTGGCGACCACGAATGTCCAATTAAGACCATCTCCGCCACCCCACGCTTTTGGACCCCACTCCAGCTGCCACTGTTAAAAAGAAAAACTAAGGGTGAAATACACCAAGAGTCCCTAATATTATTAAATGATCATTTTAATCATTTTATATTTAAAATAAAATAATTATAAATACGTTAATTATATAAATAATCATAAATTTATTAATTATGATAAAATAATACTGATATTTATTATTATAACCATAAATTTTAATAAAAATTTTTTATAATAAATATAAAAATTAATAATTATCTTTTTATGAATGTTTTATAATGATTTGATAAATTTAATAATTTTATGATACTGTGTTGTCATTTATAACATGACATAAAATTAATGATTATTTTATAATTTTTAATCATTTAATGACTAAAATGATTATGATCATAATTTAAGAATCTTCTGTGTATTTTACTTAATTAAAACACAAAATTAAAAATTTAAATATAATATTTTTTTCGAAAACTTTTGAACTTTTTGCTTTGTATATAAGCCTGCTCGCCAATTTTCATTTGCTTCATTTCTTTGCATTTTGATTAAAAAAAAGTGAAAAGAGAGCAAAAATCGTGAGAAAAATAGCTTTGCCTAATATTTTTATTGTTTGCTTGTGAATTCAACAGCCATCTTCCTGCGTGTTTGGCTTCCGAGAAAGATTTCCTTTGGTTAAAGCTCTTGAGCTATTATCAGTTCATTTTTTTGATCCGATCAGACTCGCTGAGTCAGTTTTTCCTCGACTCGGTCGTGTGTCGGATGAGTAGATAGAAGGAAGATCGCTGTGTATAATCGCCATGGTAGTCGATTGCTTCGTTGTTTTTCTTCTTTCTTTTTTGACTGAGTTGAATCGGTTGAACGTGCCATCTTGTTATTTTGTTCATACTTTACCTTTTTTAGATGCTTATTAGTTTCATTTTTATTTTGTCATGTATTTTTATATATTTAGCAATCTTAATATTAGATAGGAAAATTCTGTGATGTGTTCCATGCTGTGGCTTTTTTTTTCCTTTTTTTTCTTTTCATGTTATTTTGGAAAATGAATAATGCCATCTGAATTACGGATCAAAGTGTTAGTTTTTGGCAAAAATTGGCCAAATCCCACATTGTAAATTAACAAAAGATGGAAAAATTCTTAGCCTATAAATAGAACATTCCCTTTGATTAAATGTATGTCAATCCCAAATACAAGTGGTTACTAGAAAGCTATTAGCTATACTAGTAGAGAATTTAAAGGGAAATTCTCTTGGGGTGTAGCTTTGGGCATGTGTGAGAGTTAAATATTTTGTAATGTGGTTGTAATAATTTTCCACATAGTAAATATTTTTTTCTAGGAATTTCTTTAAAATTCTTAGTATACTCTGTGATTGCGGCTTTGTCCGATTTTCTACATCATAAAAGATTTTTTAGAAATTGTTGTGGTCCAATTAGAGGTCCTTTAAATACGTTATTGTGTTTATTGAGTGTGGTATTGTGTAAGTAAGTGCAACCAAGAAAGTTTTGTCACAAGGGCTATAATCGCCTAAGGAGGTTGGGACTTAAGCGGGTCCATTTGTGTCCCCCCAATCTTTCCTGGAAACTTTCTTAGTGCATTTTGTAGACACAATTGTTCACTCATTATTCACGTGTGAGATCACTATAGCATTGTTGAGCAAAAATGAGTTTCAGATTTGATATTGAGAAATTTGATGGGAGAATTAATTTTGGGTTGTGGCAAGTACAAGTCAAGGATATACTAATCCAACCTGGATTGTATAAGGCCTTAAAGGGAAAACCAACTTCTTTGTCCGAAGGAAAGGAACCAGATAAACCTAGTGACAGCAGTGGAGACAAGGGAAAATCCAAGATGTGTGAAGAAGAATGGGAGGAGTTAGACATGAGAGCAGCAAGTCAGATTCGTCTCTGTCTAGCCAAAAATGTTCTTGCTAATGTTGCTAGATGGTCATCAACAAAGAGCTTTGGGAAAAGCTGAGGAAATGTACCAAGTTAAAAGTCTTTCAAATAGGTTATATTGAAGGAGAATTTCACAAATTGCAAATGGAAGAAGGTACAAAATTTCTGACCACCTTAGTGCACTCAATGGGATTGGTTCTGAACTGGAATCTATTGGAGTAGAGATTGATGATGAAGATAAAGCATTGAGACTTATTTGGTCTCTTCCATCTTCCTATGAGCACATGCAAACCGTTTTAATGTATGGGAAAGAGAATGTGAATTTTCCAGAAGTGACAAGTAAGCTGATTTCGGAAGAAAGAAGGCTGGAAAATGGAGAGAACAAATCTTCTGAAAGTGGAGCATTGTCGGTTTGTGGAAATAGGAAGAAGTATAAAGGCTCCAAAAGGAAAATTATCTGTTGGGGATGTGGGCAACCTGGACATCTAAAGAAGGATTACAAAAACGGTGGAGCTAATTCGGCTAATGGCTCCAAAAGTGATGCTACTAATGTAGTCGTCTTTGAAAATGAAGACGATAAATTTGCTTTGTAAAGAAAGATATATATCCTCATGGCATGATAGCTACCAATTGAGTTGCCATGGAAAATGATGTATGAAAAGGTAGCATGTCCACATTTACACATGGGCATTGGTTGATAGTTGATGCAAGGTGTGTGGTGAAATTGATGTCGATGGCTAATGAACTTTCTAGAAAGTCAACATTGGAAGTTGCACCATAACTTATTAGCAGTTTTTCGACATGAACTGGTCGAGGTAAAAATTCTTGGAGTTAGTGAATTCCAAGTGTGTATACTCTTATGGTGGAGTATGACAATTCTTGTTTTTAGAATTGTGACTATCATAGCTGATGGTGTTATTGAGGTAACTGTTGTTTTTATGGTGAAGAATTGTATGAAATTTTTGCCAAGGTGGAGATTTGTTAGTTTTTGGCAAAAATTGGCCAAATCCCACATTGGAAATTAACAAAGGATGGAAAAATTCTTAGCCTATAAATAGAACATTTCCCTTTGGTTAAATGTATGTCAATTACCAAAATACAAGTGGTGTACTAGAAAGCTATTAGCTATACTAGTAGAGAATTTAAAGGGAAATTCTCTTGGGGTGTACTTTAGCTTTTGGGCATGTGTGAGAGTTAAATATTTTGTACTGTGGTTGTAATAATTTTTCACATAGTAAATATTTTTTTTCTCTTGGTTGTCTTTTGACAACGCCTGTGGTTTTTCTCCATTTGGGAGTTCTCCATGTTAAATTATTGTGTTTTTCTCTCTTTTATTTTTCAAGTATTTTTGTTAATGTTGTGATCTAAAGGGATTGTTGGATTACAAGGGGTCTATTTTCCCAACACAAAGGGATTCAAATATATAAGTTTCTAAGATCAGAAAAGTTGAACATTTATATTACTTGATTGAAAAATCGAAATGCAGTCCATATTTGAAGCATCTTGATGCGCATGAACTGTATAGTATAGAGCTAGGATCAAAATTTTCAGTTAAAATGTAAAATCACATTATATTTGTTTTTGAATCTCAGGATTGAAATGTTACTCAAATAGCTCTCGTTTGATGTCAAAATGCTGATAAAATTGTTAGTTGTTTTGTTCTTTCATCCGAAGTCTGTATCATTGACAATGATGACTTTAGTCTTGGATTTTGGACGGTAAAAGGTTGGTGGTAGTATGATTAGTACCATAATTAGACTAATGTTGGCAGTTGAAATGGAGATTGAGGATGTCATAGTAAGGGCATGTTACTATGCCAGTGAGTTCGGTAATTCCATTTTAGATCAATTTATCATCTCTTTTGTATGCTGAACATATAGGACATGCAGAATTTGTTCTCGACGATTTCATATTACTTTGTCTCTTTCTTTTCATAGCTAATCCTTTCATATTTTAGCAGGCTGCTCCTGTTAACATTATTGTAGGCTCTCATGTATGGGTTGAAGATCCAACACTCGCATGGATTGATGGGGAAGTTTTAAAATCAGTGGCGAAGAAGTTCATGTCAACACAACAAATGGAAAAACTGTGAGTTTATTTTTGCCTTTTGTCTGTATGTATATCTGGAACATGAGCTATTTATGAGTTTCATAGGCAGACAAGGCCACATCAATCTGTTTGTTGTTTAGCAGTTGGTCAGTACAATATTAATTTTTAGTTTGAAGCATTCATTCAGAGTTCATTTAGTCATTTCAAATTGGAACTTTGATGTTTACATCTACTGCCTTCTTTGATGGCTTTCCTTATCCTTTCTTTTTTTGAGGGGGCGGGGAATAGATTCTATTCTTAATATTCTTACTGTCCAATAAACTGATTGCAGGCTGTGGTAAATATCTCAAAGGTTTATCCAAAAGATACTGAAGCACCTCCCGGAGGTGTTGATGACATGACAAAGCTCTCATTTGCATGAACCTGGAGTTCTGCATAACTTGGCTATGAGATATGAACTTAATGAAATATATGTAATATGTTTTCTGGTCTTTCTCTGTTCGCATGTTAAAGTAGATTTTGAGGAAAAGATGTGATTTAATTTTGATGTCATCATAGCCTTTCTTGCTGAATTGCTATTCTTTTCTATTTACTCAACACACTGGAAATATCCTGATTGCTATAAATCCATTCCAAAGGTTACCACACCTTTATGATACTCCCATGATGGAACAGTATAAAGGGACTGGATTTGGAGAGCTGAGTCCTCATGTTTATGCTGTTGCAGACGTTGCATATAGGTAAATGCCCTCTGATCTACCGAACATCAGAGTTTCCTATGAATACTATCTCTGATTTATCATTGAAACAGGGCAATGATTAATGAGGGGAAAAGCAACTCGATTCTAGTTAGTGGAGAAAGTGGTGCTGGTAAGACTGAGACTACAAAGATGCTCATGCATTACCTTGCATACCTTGGTGGTTGATCTGGAGTTGAAGGGCGGACAGTTGAACAACAAGTTCTAGAAGTAAGATGAATCTTAAACCCAACACCCTCATGGCCTCCAATGAGTTGACAAAAATGATAACATTCAACTGATTTGATACTTTGGAATGTTTAATTTCTGCAGTCAATCCTGTCCTTGAAGCTTTTGGAAATGCAAAAACTGTTAGGAATAACAACTCAAGGTGAGTGTATGTTTGCTTTTGGATCTGAAAAGTCACAACCTTCTTCAAACATGATAGCTTACTCTGCTCCTCGCTTGTAATATCGACCAGTTCATGTTTCAGCCATCGGTGCTGGTTGGACTATTTTAATACAAAAATTATTCTCCAATTAATTATTTGATCTATCATTTATTTGAATTAGTTTATGAGTTTGTCTGAGTTTTCCTGCCTCTTGGTGCTATGCAGTCGTTTTGGTAAATTTGTTGAGCTTCAATTTGACAAGAATGGGAGGATATCTGGGGCGGCTGTTCGTACATATTTGCTTGAACGGTCTTGAGTTTGCCAAATTTCAAGTCCCGAAAGAAATTACCACTGCTTTTATCTTCTTTGTGCAGCACCACCAGAGGCAATAAGACCTTGCTTTTAGAATTATCTATGCTGATAATAATAGGCAAGGACTGATAATGTTTTCTTGACAATTTCAGGTTAAAGAAAAGTTTAAGCTGGGCGGCCCTAAATCTTTCCATTACCTTAATCAATCGGACTGCTATGCATTGGATGGGGTAGATGATGCACAGGAGTACATTGCAACTATAAGGGCCATGGATGTAGTTGGAATCAGCGAGGACGAGCAGGTCATCATTTCTTCTGCTAGTTTCAGAAAATAGGACACTTGTAGTTGCATTCATAGTTTCACGATGGTGATGCTTTCAGGAGGCAATTTTTCGTGTTGTGGCTGCCATTTTACATCTTGGGAGTGTTGAGTTTGCTAAGGGAGCTGAGGCGGACTCCTCTGTTATCAAGGATGAGAAATCTAGGTTCCATCTTAATACAACAGCTGAGCTGCTCAAGTATGAGGCATTTCTTGAATATGTTTCTTCATTTATTACCTTGCATGTTGTTTTTTAATCCATGTCTCATAAACTACATGTATATATATATATATAATAGGTGTGATGTCAAGAGCTTGGAAGATGCAATGATAAAGCGTGTAATGGTTACCCCTGAAGAGATTATTAAAAGACCTCTAGATCCTGTCGCTGCAGTGGGTAGCAGGGATGCATTAGCTAAAACCATCTATTCTCGCTTGTTCGATTGGTAAAGAAATTTTATCACTGCCTGTTTTCTGCAACAAGAGTGCATGAACTTCTGAAGAGTTCTCTTTATTTCTATCAGCTTGTTGACAAGATCAACTCTTCAATCGGACAAGATCCAAACTCAAAGCAATTGATTGGAGTTCTTGATATTTATGGGTTCGAGAGCTTTAAGTTTAATAGGTTAAGACATTTTCCTTTACATACAATTAAATTGAATATTTACTATTGTAACTAACAAAGATTTACATGTTTTCTTTTATCTATAGTTTTGAGAAGTTTTGCATCAATTTTACAAATGAAAAGCTGCAGCAACATTTCAATCAGGTTTGGTAAATTCTACACTGTTCTTTTCCCTACGTTAGATGCTACCTTGGCCAAGCTTATTCTGAAAATATGGTTATTTTCTTTGTAGCATGTTTTAAAATGGAACAGGAGGAATACACAAAAGAAGAAATCAATTGGAGCTATATAGAATTTGTTGATAACCAGGATGTGTTGGATTTGATAGAAAAGGTTCAAGATTGTTTCTTGCTTGTTTCTTGTTAATTTATATGAGCTAATCTTCCCAGAAATATGTTTTTTTTTTCTTTATAAGTTTTGGTATTCTTCACTATCATCTCATGCATTATGTTGCATAATTAAGTGCTCCATCTTTCTGCAGAAACCTGGAGGAATTATTGCACTTCTCGATGAAGCTTGGTAAGCAGCTAGTATTTTGCTCTATTTGATATGTTGAAGTTTTAGTAAACCAAAGTCATTATTGCTTCTGTGCATGTGTATATGATGCATAACATATTTATTGAAGAAAATACATGCATTGTCTGTCACGTAATAACGTTCCTTACTGTACTTTGCTTTTGATTGATTTCATGTTTACTTGACTGCTTTATGCAGTATGTTTCCCAAGTCTACACATGAAACATTTGCTCAAAAGTTGTTCCAGACATTCAAAAACAACAAGCGATTCATCAAACCAAAGCTATCTCGTACTAGTTTTACTATTTCTCACTATGCTGGAGAGGAAACATGTTTTGCTTTTGTATATCTATAAAATTTCCCTGACTATGAGGATAACTAAACTTTATGCTATGTTTTCCTCTCCCAGGTAACTTATCTGACTGATTTGTTCCTTGACAAGAACAAAGATTATGTAGTGGCTGAACATCAGGATCTTTTGACTGCCTCAAAGTGCTCCTTTGTGGCTTGTTTGTTTCCTCCTCCGGCTGAGGAGTCTTCAAAATCATCCAAGTTTTCATCCATTGGATCACGCTTTAAGGTATTACTGATCCAGTGTATTTATTGAGATGAGTGTCAGATGTGGTATACTTAATCTTTCTAAAATTTTCCGCATATTAAGAGCAATACCCTTGTTCAAATATGTGTTGGATAGAAGTGTCGTACTTGAGTACTTTGGGAAAAGTGAAGAGTCTGAGTAATGTAGGTTCATCAGATTTCCATGTGTTAAAAATTGGAAACTGAAGTGCATTGGAAAATTGAACCTTTCCGAATGCTTCAGATCTATGTAAATAAAGATGTTAAAAGCCTCTTTGATCTCTAATTCAAAACTGACCCTATTTTTCCTTTTGGCATCATAGTCGTGTACTTGTTCCTAGTCAGACCAAACCAAACCTTGATTTAGGATTGAGTAGTAGCTTTCTTGAGTAAAGCATACAGAAAATAAAACTAAAGCAGCTCATAAGCATTACAGTGCTTATAAAAATCATAAATTCAGTCATTCTTATAATTATTGAGTTGTTCTACACTAAATTTGGTAATAAACTGATGCTCTCTGTCGTAACCGATTTTCGTCCGGGCACGAATTTTTTACTCGGCGGGAAAATAATGTGAATAAAAAATGATTTTTGATTTAAAAATATTTTGGGAGTCACCATCGGCCTTTTGGGTCAGGTAGGTCGAATACCTAAAAAATATATTTTAAAAGAGTTTTTAAGAAAACATCAATTAAAAGATAAACTGATCTGCGTTTTAACCAAAAATTCGTTCTTTTTAATAATAAAAAAGGGATTCGTGGTCGGTTACGTTTAGGGAAGGATTAGCACCCCTACAACGCCCAAAATTTGTATTTTTCAATTATAAATTGTCTCTAATAATAGAATTTTAAGAATTCAAATATATTTAATTTATAATTCTGTTGTTTCAAAAAAAAATTTTACTATAATTTTTAAGAAAATATATTAATTTATATATATTTATAAAAATATTTATTTATTTAGAAATATCAGAAAATGACTTCTAGGTGCCTTAAGACAGCTCTTTTCTTAGATATAATAAATAAATAAATATTGATAAAATATTTATTTAAAAATAATAAAAAATTAGATTAAGATATATAATTGATAAAAGTAAAATATTTATTTAAAAATATCAGAAAATAGACATCCAGTTGCTTTAAGACTACCATTTCTTAATATTAAAAAATAAAAAAAATATTAAAAAATAATTAAAATATATAGATTAATATATATAATTTATATTTATTTTAGAAATATCAGAAAATTGTCATCCAGTTGCTTTAAGACTGCCCTTTATTAATATTGAAAAATAAATATATATTAAAATATGATTAAAAGTTATTTATAAATTAATTAAATATGATTAAAATAATAATAATTAAAGCAATAATTAAAATATAAAAGTAATAAAATAACATTGCAAATAAATAATGATTAAAATAAAAGGTATTAAAAATATAGTGTTAAAATGTAAAATATTAAAAATTCATAGTCAAAAATGAAAATTAATGATTAAAATGTAAAATTATAAAACTAGAGTCTTAATTCGATTATAAAACTTGAGTGCTAATAGTGTGATTTAACCTATATTAATTATTAGGTATTGAAATATTAAAATCTGAGGGACTAATTATAATATTTACCCTAAATTATTAATCATGATTAAAATGTAAAATATTAAAACTTAAAACTATAATTCTAAGTAATAATGTAATATGGACATTAATAATAATTCTAAATATATATGTAACATATCTAATCAGTGACGAAATATAAATAAAATAAAATTAAATACCAAATTAAAAGACATATAAATTGGTTTTAGTGGCTAAAATGGAAGTTTATAAACTTCTGGTGACTATGCGTATGATTTAACCATACATGAATTTACACAAATACCCCTCCACCAAAACGACGTCGTTTGGTGGAGGGTATTTGAACCCAAACGACCGGCCC